TACATTCACAGGTCCCAAGTCTCCCGTAACAACAATATATAGTAACAGGAAAATACTGATTTTAACAGGAAATGAACTCTGGACCATCAAGTAACAGTTCCAGCCAAACACAATAAATTTATTATAACAACATTAACACTTACTGAAGAAATAGCCCTAAAGGAATATTCCTTGTCAGTCTATAATCTTTCCAGGGTTTTATTTCCATACGTTCTGGATACTTTCCTTCAGCACGGAACACTTTTTCAACAAACTTAGGATCCACAATTTGTACTACAAATTCATTTCCCAGCAAGTTCCGCATAACTGGACCGTATTTATCAACATTCTCTTGAACCTAAGTAACGAAGATTATATAATTAATTGTATGAGTAGTGTAAATATATACATGCTGGTAGGCATGTCTCCCTGCCATAAAAGCTATTTTTTAATTCCAGGACCCCAACCAAGTCTCTTGTTGGCCCATTGGTTCAGAACCCTCTTTTGGGCATGTCGGCCCTTTGGTTGGCAAATATCTGTAGCCACCACTGTCAGTATTGGTCACATCTGGGGCTTAAACATCCTCTCCAGATATGAATGCCTGGAACTCCAATAGAGTACTACAGTGTTACATCACGATACCATGTGATACTACTCCGTTGCTATTGTTGCAAAAAGAGTTCAACCGGATGTTATTTTCTTCACTGACACACCATTGATCCCATTTTCTAACGTAATTATTAAGATGTTTTATCTTACTTTTTCTTTGTAAATTTTACTTGATGGTTAAATGTGTGTTCGATAACTAATATAATGCGAGCTTTTGTGTTTTTAGTACATTTTGATGGTAATATATTAGATTTTAAAATGCCAATTCCAGAAAGCCTATGAAGTCATTCAGGCGTAATGAGCAGTATCCAACGTCTGTTGACAACAGAGAGCGCCACCTGGCAACGTGACGACATGACTGTGGTACTCTACATAAGAGTGGAAGAAGCTACCTGGAGTAGCTAATGGTCACCACAATAAGTGTTACTAAGGGCATCCAGCTTAAAACTTATTGCCAGATGGCAACCAGCCAAAAAACACACTCTTGGAAACAGGGCTGAAATGATATACATTTTTTTTAATGATAATTATATTAGTCATGATGATGATGAAGAAAATGATTATTATAAGTATTTTCATTAGTTTTAATGAGCTGTTTAATATTTATGGTGTTACCCTTACAAGTAGATCTGGCCTGGAGAAGTATCCCTTTCGCCTCATGTAAAAAAATACATCGTAAACACTTTGTAACACATTTGAATTTCTCGTTGGCATTTCATCAAACGCTTTCACTTTTTCTTGTCTATCTTGAGTCTCTGGCTTTGCAGCAGTCCAGACTGGTCCATTTTCTAGGTGTAGAAACCTTCTGATCAATTGTGTGGATGTGGTTGCCACTGGTTTGTACCTGCTGGGGTTGTTGGCGTACCGAAGCAGTGACATCCTTCAATAAAAATAAAAATAATATCAATGAATTATGTCAAAGGAAAAAGCAAAAATCAAATTAGTTTAGTGACAGTGACAATTATACAACAGTGTTTATAGACAGTGACATGTCTCTGGGGTGTGCAGGCCTGAACGCCCACCAAATAATGCTTGCTCCCTTGTCACCCTGTCTGTCCCCTCTGCAGTGGAAATATTAAAAGCAAAAATATTTACGCTCAGGTAGAAAATATGCATTATCAAAGATATAAAAATGATATCAAAAATATGTAAATACCATAATATGTGTGTGATATACATAATATAAACAAATAGATGAATAAACAGTCCTCTAATAGGAACATATATATATAATATAAATCATCATACATATACATATACAGTGTTATATTATATATATATATATATATATATAT